TAAGACGACAGCAAGCAAAACTAAGCTAGAGGGAAGGGAAAGTACCAAGGGCAAAAATATAAATAGCTTTATACTGATAGATTTGCAGGACCAGAGCTTCTGGTATCAAAGATACCATATGAAAGCAAAAACAATGCTTAAAGTCTTCTCTTTATTATCATGAAGGGATGAATATTTTTTTTAATGTCAGATTAAACTCACTGCTACTAATAGTTCATGTAAAAGCATATCAGACCAAATAGAATCAGTATGCCAAGTAGCAGTTAACTTAAAAGTCCAGAGGACAGAGATCCTTATGTACCACACTTCTGCCAACATACGAAATACACAGATTCATATAAATGTATTAAGTGTATTGATGTTAAATATGTGTTAATATTAAAAAACTCACATTAGCATATCAGATTGTGCTTAAATTACAGAGTAACTTAAGCATGAAATAAGATTTTAGGAGCATCCTTGAAAACACGTACTTATTTTTAGTGGCTTTTTCACTAAGTCAGCACTTATTGTAGATTGTGGACATTGTCTGAAATAGTCCACTGGCTACCTACAGAAAGAGGATTAATTACAAATCACTTTCTTCTCTTACTTTATCAGTGTGTCCTTCAGTGACATGAAGCCACTCCTGATGTGCATTAATTTTGTTTTCAGAAGTTTGAAATATCTTTTTTAAAACCTTCATATTTATTTCTTCCTCCAGATACCAAATATTTCTGTAAAGACTTCTACTGTCAAACCTGAATCACACAACTAAATTTTTACTTCAGCCCACAGCAGCAGGTTTACAAAAACCAAGCAAACAAAAGGCTGAAGTGTTAGAATTTTAAAAAGCCTTTTATGTTTGTCAGCACTGCACCTAACAAAGCATTCACAAGGTTAAAACCAAGCTACCAGAGTATCTGCCTCCAATTCTCAGTTTCCCATGCTCTGCATCCTACCCTGAAGAGCCTCATGTCGCATCAGTTATTCCCTTAGACGGGGAAAGAAGATCACTAATAAACTATAAAAATAAGCAGAAAATGCAAAGGTGGCCTTCAAAGTTTAAGATCTGACATTTAGACCTATTTCACTAAGACACTAAGACAGAAATTTTGCCAAGAAATTCACTTTCACAGACTGAAAGTACTCCTCCCTTTCCATATAAAAGCTGTTAATATATTTAAAAAAATAAACCAAACCTCACCTGTCCTCAGATGACTCCACTGCTGAACAATTACTAGACACAGGCAGATACAGTTCACAGTTTCTAGATGCATCCTGATCTGTCACAAGTGATTTAATCATATCAGTTTTCTCAGGTCTCCTGGTACTTCTGTACACATAGTCTGATGTAGTCTGGTCTTTCTGGCCAGTAGCTGCACTTGCTGAAACAAGTTCATTGGAGGGAGCACCAACTTCCTTTTCCTGCTTCATCAACTGCACAGCAACGCTCTCTTTTTTCTGTGTCTGCTCTGCACCCGCAGAAAGGCTGGCTGGTTCCGTCATCCACCCTTGAAGATTATCCTGGCTTTGAAGAATGGAAAAATGTATGAAGCACATCTCTTGTAGAAAAACAAAAGCACATGTTTTTAAGAAAATTACGATATTTTGACAGTTACATTGTGAGGATTCAGGGGTTACTTAAATTTCTCAAAAGCAGCAACAAAATCCAGAATAGTTTGTTAAGATGACACAGCACCCAAACTATGTTCAAACTCATCTCCTTGGCAAGCCAATTTCACTTCCCAGCAAGGCTAACCTGTGCTAACAGCCTGTGCGAGAATTAGTGCCCTGACTGAACACTTGCTCTTCTCAAGGGGCCTTATCACCTAAAAACCAGAGGATTACCAGAAAGCCCAACAAAGCAAGTTTCAGTCCTGCAAGAGGAGGATTTTTACAACTCACCTGGTGCTCTGTGAAACTTCCCATTGCACCAGGATTATTGCTTAATGCACAAACACCTGATCTGTGTTTTGTCCAGTATGATTTCCAAGTTATTAAGACAGGACTTTCTATGTTCCACTCCAGCAAGCTCTCCAAATGCTTAGGACGAGCCCATATGGTAAGCTTTCAGGGATCTTTACCTTAAATTGATATATAACCCTCCTAAAAAATTATGGGTCACTTTGCAGTTGCCACATTCACGTCCTAGACAATTCTGACCATGGCTACCCAGGCTGGTCACCTCAGGACTGACCGACAGTCTGAACGCCCACTGTACACACCTTAAAGCTGCGCAACACCTTTCTGTCGTCAGGTTAAAGCCTCCCAC